AAAATTGCTCACAACACTTGTCATTTTTTCATTTTTCTTATTAAAATGGAATTATGGAAAAATGGGCGATAGGTATTCTATTTTTCTATTTTTTCATTTTTTGAACAAAATGGAAAAAATGAAAAAATGGTGCGAATAAATATGATTTTTTCATTTTCCTGTTTTTCTATTTTTGGCGAAAAACGGAAAAATAGAAAAATGAGTTAGGAATCGGAGATTATTTCATTTTTCTCATTTTCTAACAATAGCAACAAATAAAAAATAGCAAAATATCGCTTTTAGCCGTTTACAGTATTTTTTGTATTTTTGAAGCGGACTTCAAAATTAGAAAAATGAAGAAATGATCAATTTTCCTGACCATTTTCTTTCTTTCTATTTTTGTCTGTACTTTAAAATATGTAAATATGACAACGATAAGTAATATTTCCTGTTTCCGTTTTTGTTGGAAAAATGAAAAATTAGATTGGCCGAAGTGTGCACGGACCGTAACTGTTCACAACTTTTCGCACTTTTTGAGCACTATTTTGAGATTTTGAGCACTTTTTGAGCACTTTTTAGCCATTTTTGCCAGCACTTTTTCAGGATTTTACGAGCGCAATCGGGAAAGGCCTAGTCCCACTCCCACTCGCGCGCGACTTCTCACAAAGACCTTCCTCGCAGGCTACTTTCAGGGGCACCCAACGACTTTTTTCCTGTAAAATAACTGTTCGAAGGAGCGAATATTGCCAAGAAATTTCTTGAGCTCGAGAAAGGCTTAAAATTCCTGGATAACTGCCAGTCATATTCGTATAAGGTATTCGGCGTTTTTTTATAAACTTATCAACGATTTTCACGTTTTTTTTTTTTTTTACCGAGTTATTACCATCATTATTAAAGAAAGTCTCCCACGAATTTCTGTATAAAGTACGGTTACTCCATGAGATCTATTTTTCGACCAGTCGACCCATCATGGTAGCTAAGAGTTTCGGATGAGACGAAAAAACCTCCAAAAACTGTCGAGACGACCAAAATTCCCATAAGACACTGTTTATCCTAAACCAAATTTATCAGATGCACAAGATTATTTTCGGACACTATGACATAGATTCTCATATGTTCTTTGATTTTAATGTATTAGCAAAAACGCGTATGAACCATAATTTTAAGATAAGACCCAAGAAGACACGTACAAATTACTTTAAATTTTCATTTTTAATCGCTACATAACAGACTGGAATAGTATTCCATCGAACATTATGCATGCACCTTCATTAAGCAGTTTTAAGTCCTATCTATTACATCATTTGTGTCAATTTTAAATCAGGTGTAACTCGTGAGTGACAAGTATGCAATTTAATTAGGTTAGCTTTGGGCCGTATTTAAATTTTACTTCTTAATTTTTTGTGTCAATTTTAGTATGCAATTTAATTAAATTAGTTTTGGGCCGCATTTAAATTTTACTTCTTAATTTTTAGTATACGAACAAGAAGTGATTTTGAAAAGCATTTAACTATAAAAAATTGCGATAAAACATTTCTTAAAATCATTTTAAGATTAAAAAATTGCTAAAAAGCGACGACGTTTCGACGTTAGCTGAACGTCATTATCAAGTCAAAATAAGTTAGTGATTTTTTAAAAAACACTAACTTATTTTGACAAAAATCACTAACCTATTTTCGCAATTTTTTATAGTTAATTTTTAGCATATTTAATATTGGAGAATATTCTTTGTATGAGAATTTAGTTTCCCCCAATTAGTCTCCAGTCATGCACTTTTCGTATTTTCTGTAATTTATTTACTTGTTTTTGCATGACAAAGTATTGTTAAATAAACTGAAAATACAGTTGCGAATCCAGGGGAGGTGCCTGGCCCCGGGGGAGGGGGGGAGACTGGCCTGTTCCCCCACTTACTTTTAGACCAAACTAAGGCCCGAAGGCCACTGCTGTATAATTAAGGACCAAACTCTCAAGTTTCTTTATTTTTGTGGTAGTCAACAACAGTTGCTATGGCTCCTTCCAAATAAATAGAAATGAAGAACCTTATAAATTTAGAACCTTTTTTGTCAGACCTCCAATAATGTAGTAATTTGCCCTATAAAGACTGCTGCGGTCTTGCCAAAAATATGGTGGTCAAGTTGTTCCACTTACGGTTATGGTGAAATAGAATATTACTAACAATAAGAATATTGTTATCCTAAGGCAGATATAAAAAGGAAGAATAAATAGAACGGGTCGTTTTGCTTGTTTTAGGAGTCATGGTCAGAGAGGTTGTCCTCTTTCAAGAATTTTGTCAAGCGTTCGACGTTTCACAACTTCCACAAGCATTGTTATTGTGGCACCAACTTCCAATATATTTTCCGAAATCTGTTATGCCCTTTCTTAGAGAGCCCAAGTAGCCGGCTCTTTTACAACCCTCGTTTTTGACTCACGCTTAAATTGTCTCACTCAGTTCGCTCTCCAGTCCAACATGCAGTGTACCTTATGATATTAAATTTGTGCCGGTCCATTCAAAATAGCCCTCCTGAGGAAAAATCCTAAGGGGTTGCTGAATACACAGACACAGACTGGACCATTGGTTATTTATCAGTTAGCTGGTACGAAAAAAACTCGATCTTGCACAACCTGTTTTGCCTTTTGTAACATGTGGTCAAGCACATGTGTAATTCGGATTAACCTTTTAGCACACAAAGATACCACATAATGGTCTCGCTTTTCCTCTAATTTGAATCATTAAGCTGAATAGCTTGTCTTGTGGGGAACTATCACTCAGAAATGACCGCAAACTCAGATAAAGTTTAAAAGCCTTTAATTCATTTTAAAGAATGACATCAAATATATAGAAACTGACAAAAGCTGGACATTAGTTTATGAAATAGGCCACTGTCAATATATCCATTGACGTCATGTCCTGAGAACACGAGGAAGAAGAGTGATGACTTTCGTTTCTTCTGGTTTTCTTGGCCTGGCTATGAGTTTGAATAATAGCACGATATATCAAAGTGACCCCATTCATACCGAAGCCCCTACAATATTTTATCTTACTCCTGCCATTCAAAAATTTATTATTATCATTATAAAATGAAGCAATATTATTATGTAAATACGCAATATGTATTAAATGAATAAATGCATAGTTGTATAAATTAACCATTGAAACGTTCTTGCTGGTGCTGACTTCGTTCCTGGCGTACGAGCCATTAAATAAAAGAATTATATAAATTATGCGGATCGAGGAGAGGTATCGGATGAACGCCGAGGTGGATAACTTCTTTCCCGTCTCTGACCCTGATTGTGTGCCTTTAGAGAATAGTGTGTTATATATACTGACTTCCAAACCAGACCTTAGCTGCAGAAATTTTACAAAGGTTCCTGTATTGCTTATTGTATTGGCAGCATTGGTCGGAAATGGAATGTTATTTTTTTCCGAACTGCCCTGATAATCCGAATCTTCACTTTTCATACCCAGACGTGGGTTTCCCAAGTGATCTGCTAATGACACTATTTGAAAGAACACAAAAATCTAAACTATAATCACTATAATTATTATTCAACACCAGCAAAGGTCTTTACAATAATTAAGCTTTTTTTCTTATACTACCGCAATATTGTTATGGTGAACCGAAGTGCCTTTTATCGCCTTACTCCTGATGTCACCTTTTTGAGTCAATAGTTCGTTTCTCCAACATGACATGACATGTTTATAGCGAGTGGCAATGTTGTAATCTAACCTAGCCGATTGAAACGTTCGTAACAACGAATTGTAGCCACGGAATTATGTGGTAGGTTAATATCTGGCGTCTGAGGAACTCTGAAGGCTATGATCAGTCACACTATACCGGAAAGCGACACGAAAATGATACAGGATTTTGCTTTTGTCAGTTCATTTAGAAGAACGGTGATTTTCCGGCTATTTCTCAGGAGCGAAACTGCGCCGCCGCCGATCTTGAAAAGTGGATCATCACTTATCGGATGGGTTTCTGCCACTTTTCGTCGCAGTGTGAACATGTTTTCAGGTGAAATGAGTAGGTGTGAGCATAGGCTGGGACCCACCTGATATGAAAGTATATTTTTAGGAGAGAGCACTGTAATTTAGTACACCAAACTGGCCTCTCGGCCTGCCGACCGCTCTGGGGCGATGTTCAATATGTGTGGACGACTTGTTCCAGTTCCATACGGTTGTCGTTCATACTACCGGATACATTTTCATGTCGACACGAAAATCTATTTCCAGTATAGTGTGGACAGACTACTGAAAAAAGTAAAAGAAGCAATCCGAACTACTAACAACTTAACAGTCATTTGCAGAGAATGAACCGATTTTAGTCCCTACAATTGATATATTACCAGTGCTATTCAGTATTTTCTCGATGTCTCTGAAATGAAATTAAATATTATTAGGTATCTTATTGTAATAACCCATTAAACAGTTGTGCTCGTCATCTCAGTCCTGTTCCTTGCTTGGCGAGGGAACTCCCATATGAAAATGACGGGGTTGCTCGTCTCTCTTAAACGTAGACATCGCAGTTTTTGGTCTCACTTTGGCTGTGCAAGACAAAAAGCCACTATTTTTAACCATAAATGTATCGCTTAACCCCCGCAAACGGACGTAACTTTGTTGGCCAACAACTCGCAACATTGTTGGAAGTTGTTGCGTCCGTTTGCACGTAGCTTTAGGGTTGTGCGTAAAGAAATATCTATATAGAAAAAGACGTTGTCTTAATGAGTTAGAGTGTATTCTACTTTGGCTGCTTTTTGTGATCGTAACCGAGGGAGACTGGTTATGAATACCGGCAAACAGTGAAGATGAAAACAACGGTGTTCAGTTTATGGGTATAGTTTCTTGGTATTGCAGACGGTGCAACTGAAATTATTAATCTACTTATCCGTCGAGCATTCCCCTATGCTTTCATATTGGAGTTTCCCCCCCCTCCTCCTTCCCCCCGAGACCCTTATAACAATCTAAAGAAAAAAAGGGTGCTTTGACAAAAATTAAACCATAGACCGTAGAGACCCTACAGAAATTACAGCTTCGTATCAAGAGTACTAGCTTTACTGGTGTTAGTGGCGGATGCCTCACGGTAACATGGCTGGTTCTGATCCAGTAGTCTGAAATAATAGTAAGGGGTATCTTCTGTCATCATCTCTTCCAGTATCGGTACTAGTTGAACGAATGAGGGTCGTTCATTTGGATCCTCCTTCCAGCAGTCCATCATCAATTTGTATCTGTTGTAAAAGGAAGCCATAGTTTCAAATACCACTATATAAAGATATGTCTTCGTTTACTTTGAATATTGAAGACACTTATGTTCTATAGGCTCTTTTTAAAATAGAGCAACGTAAAGGAAAGAGGCGCGCTGCAGTTTCCACTCCTTGGAAAAGGCTGACAATTTTAGAAAAAAAACTGTTTGAAGGACTATGAAAGTATTTCTTCATAGTACCCTCTGTTCGCGCGTCTTTTATTATTTCTATTCTGACTTACATTTCATCGCTGCACGTGTTGGGTTTCTCCATCCGATATCCAGCTTTAAGTAAACTGCATAGCCTCATAGGGGTTATCCCAGGGTATGGAGTACCCCCTAAAATAACAAAATAAAGATCAATGCTGTCTTATTAAACATTATCAGGCTTTTCTAATTTTTGATTTTGAAATCGCTGGTGATCCCTGCAATCTGATTGGCTCTCAGCAGTGTGATTTATTTACGAATCACACAATCACATATGTTTTAAACCACGTCGCACCGTCGCACCTTGCTTTATATCGCATCATTTCTGTTTCGAATACAAAATGAGATGTAAAGCCCTTTTGTTTCCGCTTTTCAACAGGCTGTTTGATCTGCCCACGGGCAAGTCCTTCCTTATGGTTCTCGATCCAAGGCACGCCTCTTGACCACTAGCTACAGCTGCCATCCTTCACTCTATCCAGCATTCCTGCTTGAGGGAACGTACACGGAACGCAAAGGGAACGCACTAACGGGGCTTATCTTCCAACATAGTATACTACTAGTTAGCCTATTATTTTTTCTAGTTGTTTAGCAATCACGACATCATGTGAGAATGGCTTCTTTTATAAAGCGGCTCGATTCTCCCGTAACTGCTATCCGAAAACTGAACAGTCAGCTTTTCCCTGACTACTGTCATTGGGGATTCCTCTCAATTCCCTTGGGTATAGGAAAATGACTAGAGTATTATTCTACCAGCATCAGTATACAAAGATTTATAAAACTAGCTTACCCATGGTGGCTAGTTCCCACAAAACAACTCCAAATGACCATCTGCAATAAAAGGAAGCAGATAAAGAAATTGCAAGAATTAACCTCACAGAAATATTAATTTTGTTTATCTCGTCCTATGGATGGTAATCCAGGAAATTTTTGCTTGGAGTCATGGACTTTGGAATCCGAAGTCCAGCTAACTATGAAATTCTGGAATCTAGGCCTTTTGAAATCTGGAATACACTGTGTTGGAATCCGGAATCTAGTATCTGGAATGCGGAATGTGGAGCGTGGAATCTAGGATCCAAGATGGTCTCTGATTAACTTCATCGGCTCAAAGTTTCTGTTTATAAATCTTATTTTCAAGTTTCACGTCTGGAACAGGCTAATGTTTTCCAAACACTTGAGTATTTCTTTAGAGATAGAGTGATAAGCGCTACTGCAGACAGTGTCATGATCAAAATTGTGCTCTTTTTCTTCAGACAGTTCTAAACAGTACATTGCAGGGTCTATGTTATCTAAAACCTCAGCTTCACACTGAGTCACAGGAAGCCTAAGCTTGGCCTAACTGTGACCTCGTTAACATATACTCACACGTCAGTCTTGAAAGTAAAAATGCCGCTTTCCAACGCTTCAGGTGCCATCCATTTCATTGGTAGCTTGTGTACGCTCGTAACTTCGTATATTTCACTCTCATTTGCCCGGCGTAACAAACCAAAATCAGCAATCTTCACCGCTCTGTCCTCACCAAGTAGGATATTACGGGCTGCCAGGTCACGATGAATGAATCCTTTGCTGGCCAAGTATTCCTGGCAGAGAAAAACCGAAATTATTTCTCAAAAAATTTTTAGTTACCAGATTCCAATCTGAAATTAAAATGGAAGCTCGATTTTGCGATATGGCAGGGGGATAGCAGTTTAATCGGGATATCGTTGTAAACGAACTCCCGATTTAACGATTTGACGGAAAAGCAACCAAGTGCAATGAAACATCTGTTCCAGGCTCAAAAATAGCCCGTCACCGCCCCTTTTTCCTAGATCACGCTTTTATATTTTTGCCGGTGCTTTACACTTTTTCGCCCGGTGCCTTATGCTTTTTTGCCTTATTTTTGCAGGTGCCACCCCTACTATCCAGAACCTGGAACAGGCTACTGCAAGCTGTGCCTGGAAAACGGTCGGGAAAGCGGGAGGAAGTGATCGTCGGCCTATTCTTGAAGAATGGAGGGAGGATTTCTGTCACAGCTGTTGGAAAACGAAGGAAAAAATTAAGCAATTGGTTTACAATATCCCAGCGACATATACTTTTCAGCACAAAAAGCCGTCAAAGTTGAACAAGCTAAGTGAACTACAGTCGAGTCCAGATAACTCGAACCCTCGCTAACTCGAACCAGAATCCATTTCCGCTGGATTTCCTTTAGTGTAATTTATCCTCGGTAACTCGAACCCTCGATAACTCGAAACTCCCGGCCGCTAACTTCAAGTAATTTTTTTGTTTCCCTTCAGTTTTTACCCTCGATAACTCGAAGGGATGAATATTGGCCGAAAAATAAGGTTTTCAGTTAAGATTTCAACGGCGGAAGAAAGCCTTTTGACACCAGTTGACACTTAATTAAATGCTGTTTTTCAGGGGGACCTGGGGTGAGTGGAATAAAGTCCTCCTTAGACTGCCACGCCCGAAAAAAAAAAAAAAACCTATTGGTTCTTACTATACTGCTGATTTCTATTTCGAAGTCACCCAAAACAGCATACCTAGTGAACATTATTCATTTAGAGCCAAATATACAGCTGAGCCACCAGGTATATCAATTCAGCTTACAGTAGTTAGCAAATACCATCATAGTTGCCGTTTACGAAAAGCAATCCTTTCAGCCATCAGTTCCACTTGCAGACCGTTTATTGTGCTTTCCAAGAACCCGATTACGGGGGTCAAGATTTATCTAGTCCTTGCTGCTCAGTCATCCAACCCCGAGAACAAATTTAACCATTGCTTTTTCTTTTCTCTACTTCCCTTCTTTTCTTTTCCTCTCCTTTTTGCTTTCTATTTCCTGTTCTGCCGTGAATGTCAGGGGCGTAGCCAGCCCATAGTCCTGTAGGCCCAGGCCTTCAAATTGTTGTTTGGATCACTCTACCGCTTGTAATAAATTATGCGTTGTTGGGGCGAGCTAAAAAAACATAAGAGCTCAAAGTGTTGGTGAGGTCAGTGCGTACGGGTCATGCGTGCAATTTTCAGGATATGTGGAAATGAGAGTCAACCAGGCCTACAACTAGTCGAAAAGCTGGCTATGTCCCTGTATGTCAGGCTTGTACGATTCAAATGAAATAACTGATAGATTTGCCTTATTCCGGTCATATGGCTGTTTTCCTTAGATACCTTTTCGAAGTACGACCAGACCTGATTTTTCAATAGGTACCTTCACAACGGCTCCTTGTGATTTTTAGGCTTCTCGGGCGATAGAAAATTAAAAAACTCGGTTTTGACCTTTTTTAAAATCAAACGGCTCAATTTTATATGTGTTGTGTTTCACGAAAAATTCAGCAAGATAGTAGTTAGCGCTATCATGGTCTGTTATAATTAACGCAGAAATTTGAATGCTTGAAAAATCTGCCGTCTCATGACCAGATAGCATATACTTGCAGGCACAGAAAAACTTGTATTAAAGTATTAATAAGGGGAAGAGGCAGATTCTTGTGATTTACAAACGATGACTAAATTGCTCAAAGCATTCTTCAGTCGAAAAAGTTCTTACCATCCCTTTAGCAATCTGCCACGCATAACATAAGACTTCTTTCCCAGAAATGTCTTCTTCATCATCTTCCTTGCCCTCACAGCTGCCTTCTTTCTCGATGGTGATCTTTTCTTCGACGTTTCTTAAAGCCTCAGCAGGTGTGAGCTCTTTTTCTTTGGAGAAATGGGCAATATTGATCGAAGGTAACACCATCACCGACGTAGCCGACCCCTTTTGTCCTTCATTTTGTAGAAATGGCGTGTTGACATCGTCACTTTCGTCTTCTTCCTTGTCATCTTCGTCTTCCAGGTTTGAGCAAGAAGGTTCCATTTCAGTTTGAGGTGCATCGTTGATTAGAACTCCTCTTTCATCGTCTTCCAGGTCGATTTTAATTTCCTTCGTCTCGCTGCAATGATAACCACCGTCTTTTCCACTTTCTTCATTCTTTTTTCCCCTGTTCTCCTCTTTCAGGTTTTCATCCAGGACATCTTTTGTTTGCAGGTTTCTGGACACCAATTTCGGCCTCTCAGGAACAGGAGGTTTAAGCCTTTCAAAAACATCACTCTGACGACTCTTTTTCATTGTAAGCTGCAAAAAAATATTGAAATGAATTCCGTCTGATCATGAAACGGTTTTGCCAGCAGAAACAATTTCAACACTATCAGTTGGTTAGCCGAAATATTTTTACCCATTGAAAAGGAATCCATGTGAATTGAAAGATTACTTAACCGACGTTAAACTGAAAATCTAGCCGGGAATACCTTATGGGCCAACTTTCTTAAATCGTCAACGAAAAATTTAAATGGATTATACTGCAATAGAAACAAAGCTTTTGTTTCTTTTCCTCTGCTTTGTTACATTTTTCTATGACATTTTAAGATACACAGTCCCAAAAACGCAACGTGCAGTGCTTCTTGATATTTGGTTTGACGTAATGTCACTTCGACGTCATATCTCGTACAGGGCTTTCGGGACGGACAATCATTATCTCCACCAAAATATTCTGAAGGGTTTTTTAAAAAGAAACTTTTCTACTACGTCTGTGGGAGGGTAAAAAGCAAAACTCTGGTGTTATCGGTTGATTTGAATAACTCATCTTGCCACCATTGAAAGGCCGTGGATCGAAAAGCTGACGGGCATTTTGAGTGGAAGCCCTTTGTTAGCTCGAATTAAGGACGTTTATCAAATGGCGGAGCTCAGCCACGGTGAATACATGGGAAAATGAGAAAAAATACGTAAATCAGTAGAATGAAAAGCGTTCGTTGAAGTAAACTATTCTTGCAATTTGTCTTGTTACTATGTTCAAACAATAGCGTAGCTCCACCATTAGGTAATCTCGCGATTTTTTCTGATTCTGGTTTTTTTTCTTTTCTGACAACCTACCCCTCCGCAAAGACAACATCAACACTACCTTCTCACTTATGTAAAATGTGGCTTAGGGGAGGGGTAGGTGGGCAGTTTCCCGGAAATCTTAACGGATCCTTGACTTTGCTGACTTTATGAACACATATTTTGGTGTATTTACCGATCTTTGTTTTCCGCATACATGAATAGCATCTAAACAGTCTGGCTGTATAAACCGCGTTTGGAAAAATACGAATACCCGGTTGCATTTATACCTACATTTTTAAGTGAACCTTTGTCTTTGAGAACTTAAATTATAGATAACATGTACAAATTCTCACATCAAGTTGGTTAGCATCTTATTATTTTTAACGAAGACGATGGTTTTAGACGTGTGATGAGATAGAGGATTTTCCTTTTGTCTTAAGAGACCACACAATGTAAGAAAAAAACGCACACACGCAGCAGGATGATCATTAGAAAATTAAAGTGCAGCACAGAATGCTAATGACGTCAGAGTGACTAATTTGCAATGTTTGTCTGAAATCTGCCATTTTTGTTATTTTCATGACAAAAGTCAGACAAACTTGACATTTTAATGACAAAAAAACAAAAAGAATTGTAATATATTCTCACTGGGAGCCCTCACTCCCAAACGCCCCAGGCAAGGATAAGATATGGGAAGAAGCGAGCCCGGAGGCGAAAAAGGAGCGGGAGCTAGCTAGGATGACAACAATGGTCATCGCTGCGGGGAGGAGGGAGGGACGCCAAGCTAACGACTGGCGAACGTTTAACGAAAAGACAATTAAACAGGCCAAAACAGGCTTATTTATACAAAACCTGTGTGAAACAGAACACCCAGGAGACTACGAGCGCGCGGGAATTTTTATCCTTGAATCCCGAACGGATTTGGGGCGTTTGTACGAGATGGCCCCAGTGAGAATAGTAATATATTCTCACTGGGAGCCCTCACTCCCAAACGCCCCAGGCAAGGATAAGATATGGGAAGAAGCGAGCCCTACGGCTGCTACTCCCGAAAGCTAGGGCAAACTACCACAATAAACCAGAAACACGTAACTCTCCCCAAAACTCAGAAGAAAAGGTTTATTATTGACAACTCTTGACAGTCCTAGCACGATACTGAAAAACGGAGAGACAAGTAAAATAACCTCACGGGAAAACTGGCGTAAAGATCGTAAATTCATCGTGATCGCTATGGAAGGTGAAGTGAGAGGGACTGCAACGCGAGACCTTTCCCCTTCCCGATTGCACCATCGGATAGTATAAAGCGATATCTGAACTGGGAGGAAAACGTAACGAGCGTTGTAACAGGGCGAGGCTTACAAATGAAAAAACTAAAGAGCAAAACTAACCAACGAAATGGTAGGAAAGGGGAAAAGTCAACCGCGAAGCAGCCCCGAAATACCCCGTCCAGGGACAGAGCAATTAAGGGTATAAGAAAACCCCATCGTAGGCATACCAGCGGTTGACTTAAGGAAGGATAACCCGAGGAACAAGTGACACGGACCATTTGCTAACAACTCGACCAAGCACAAGGCACTATAACGTGATGACCAATGATGCATTCATAATGTTACATAGCCGCAGATCACAGAGTAAAAAATCGATCACAGATCACAGAGTACAAAGAATCGTAACACATGCAGACAAATCAAATCTCCATACGGAGTGCCAAGAAGAATATGAGTCATAAACACGCCAGAATGGAAAGTAAATTGGTCGCACAGACCCCGACAGGACAAAACCGGCATAAGGACGTGTTCATAAATCTGTCACACAGACTTGTCACACAGACTCGTCATGTCACGTCCCTCGTCACGTAAATCAAATCTTAAGAGAGAGTACCGATCATAAATCACGCGGAAATGAAAAGTAAATTGGTCACACAGACCCTGATAGGACCTCGGCACACAGCCGGATGCATAACATTTGTCACACAGACGAGAAAACTAAATTCGTCACACAGACGAGAAAACTAAATCTGACACACAGACGAGAAAACTAAGTTTGTAACACAGAGGAGAGAACAAAATTTTGTACACAGACGCGAAACCCAAACTTGTAACACAGACGGAAAACCAAACTTGTCACACAGACGCGAAAACTAAATTAAACATGTCACACAGACTTGTCAGCCAGACGGAAAACTAAACTTGTCACACAGACGAGAAAACTAAATTTGTCACACAGACAGAAAACTAAATTTGTCACACAGACGCGAAAATTAAGAGTGATTTTCTGTAAAATTCGAACTTTGGCCTGACACGGTACCTCATCGATTTGGCTGATTTTTGGCATGTAGTCTTAGAATGGTGTCCTAAATACTGAATGCATATTCTAAGGTTCGAATTCTCGTTGGTTTCAAAGATACAGGAATGACAGTTTTGACGAGGCCTCGAGCGGCCGCCATGTTGGTGAACTGAAGGAGATTTACAGTAATTAATTCTAGCCTTATCATTAGAATAACTTAATCGTGACTCATACAGTTGCAAAGAACTATCCTTCCTCCTTTCATTTACCTACTCTTATCTGAAAATGGTTAAGCCTGAGCTACGAACGGCTATAACTTCTCACAGCACTTTTTCGGTACTTAAACGGTACACAAATTTGGTAGAAATTGGAAGGTCAATATCACCCATGCCACATCGATTTAGACTAAGCCATTTTAACTAGACATAGTTTGTTTATAGCTAAGTTAGATTGTGGAATAAAATAATTGGGCAAATGCAACGGAACAGAAATATGATTGCATGAATGCGCAGTGGTTCAGCCACTTGGCCGCTAAAACTTCAAAACAAAATTCGGTGAATATTTGAAAAGAAAATTCTTTAAAAATTGATCGTGCCTCTTAAACCCTATCTATCGCTTAAAAAACCCTCCCTTGTAATGTAAACAGATGATCTTTTGATTCTGATCTTGCGAAGAGCTTGAAATATGCGCTAAAATGAAAATTATAAATTTTGTTACACACGGTACTAGCTCCAGTTCGCTCTTCGATTTCCCAGACCAATCGGGAGCCGCTCGTGTACTGCACAGTGACAATTTTCTCTGTAGTATTTCGCTGTATACAGCTACAAATTACATATTTTCTTAGGCAAAGATAACGCAAACGTTGTCAATTTTAATCAAAAGGCTAGAAAAACCAACCGTGCACTGTAGCTTTATGCAAATTGTATGGTATTCGATAATTGCACGTGTAAACAGGAACCTACCTTTGCTAATGTACACTGTTTGGCAGATCTTTCCAGCGTAAGATACAAAACTAGTACATGAAATGAAATTAAAGAACTCATCAAGTCAAATTACCTGATCGTACCGTCATTACTGAATTATAAGTCCGCAAAATATGACATGGAATGATCGGTGGGAGACGAAGCTATTTTTAGGAGGACAAGGAACTGCACGCTGGAACGGAACTGAAATTAACAACCTCAATCAAGTTCAGTCTTCTTGACGCTATTAAACGTTTCACCCGAATTTGAACAGGAAGTTGTTTTCTATTTTCTTTCTCATTCTTGCATGTATTCTGCAGTTCGCCCACTATTTTTTCGTAACTTTTAATTTTCTAGCTAACTGGAACTGTTAAGAACTACCAACCCCCCTCCCCACTCCTCCTCTTTGAGTGAACTTTCATTCGGTCTGATTCACAATAATTTTCGAACGGTGACAAAGTGATATTTGAAATGACATTTTATTTAGTATTTTTAAAAGCTCAAAGTGATATTTGAAATGACATTTTATTTAGTATTTTTAAAAGCTCCTTCTTTTTTTCCCGATAGCCAGGAATGTTTTGAACGTAAAGGCTCAAGTGGCGGTGTTTTTCACGACTCTGCTTGTAGACTGACCTCACCACCAGTACCACGGACATAAAATCTGATCGGAGAGGGTCATACAGTAACTGATGGGTCTCTGAAAAGCGAAATGCAGTCACTTGGGGCGCGTAGACTATATAGATGATGAACTCATTGTTTATAACCCCATAAGCGTATCCCAAAAGTTGAGCCAGCCCGGGGCGAGCGAACACAATTTTGGGGCCACTGGCCACGCCCTTATGTTTAGCGGGAAATTGGTTGATTAGTCAAATCTCCTGAACTCCAGGACCATGCACCTTTCCAAATATAGCCCTTCTAATCATCATATAGTTAGGGCCTCCCGTAAGCATTTGCAACTATTTTGATTTGTAGAAGACTGTTTAACAGTTTTCATTACTTTAATGTCTCGTAAACAACACGAGGTACATGTTCTGATCTCTCCCCTCCCCCCCCACCACCCTTCCCCCATCCATAACAAAAAATTTTCAGACCAACAGTGAATTGCATGAAGATATGTACAAAAATATGACCATCTCGAGGCAAAGTTCATCACTGTAACTTACCACATAAAAGCCTTTTCGTTGTTTGCCATCGACTGATTCTGTTCTGAATACTAAGGTCCCATAAACAACGCCACGTTTAGAAAGAGCCCGCCCTTTTCAATCCAAGAAAACCCAAGTAGCGATTTCACCAACGGACATAAGCCGTAAGAAAAGGACCGCGTCAAATAGATCATGAAATCACAAACGCCTCATGACACCTTTAATTCACTCTTTCTTCGATAAACTAATTTTTAATTTTTTAAGCATAAATGACATCAGAATGCGCGATTATGAGCATTGTAGCTTATGAAAAGAAAATTTAACACCTGATGCACATGAAAGCGTCTAAGAAGGGGACTAGGGGGAATTAGGAACATTGTGCTTACCGCTGGAAAAATATTGGCTAGTTCTTTGAATAGACTCAATTAAAGCCGTTTTTGTTCAGTGAGGAGCTGTTAGATGGGGGGAAAGCTACATAAAGTAGATCGCATCAGAATACGGCATAGGACTAGGCTCTCAAAATCGATAAGCTGAATGCAAGACCAATTATTATGTAAAACAGAGAAAAATTCTTGAGGGAAAAAAACTATGGCTAGGGAAAAGACCCGAAGGTGGAAAGTTAGGATGGTAGCTTCTTTTGAGGTAATCGATCATTTACGTTAACTTACGCTATCCGACGGGCATATCGGAAAGACTGAATGGATGAGAGTATAACACATTCAAGAAGAAACAAATTTGTGATTTTTCACAACTCAATAAAATAACTAAAATTGTGTACTACTCGGTTATACAAGATTTTTGTTTTCAATTTCAGATTTTTACGATGGGGCATTAGCCCCCGTACTCACTAGACACTAATTTACAATCATCGTGTTAAAATCAGTGAAATACTCCAAAACAATTTGGATTCCTACCCTTACACCTTTATTAAAAATTAAAGTTGGGAAGTTTGTTGTTTTCTAAAAGTAGTTTGAACAGCCGAACGACATTTTTTTACACGGAGTGGGGAAGGCAAAGCTTCACTTATCTCTTCTAAGGTAGAAAGTGTCAGCAAAACGTGAGAGTCGCCCTTGAGGGTAAAGTGTCTAACCTAATTTTCTCACCGATTGCAAGCGCCATTTCATCCACGCATAACCTCACCTAGAATTAGCAAATGTAGTGGGGAAACGTTGCGAGAGAACTGAGTAAGATGTTTGGGTAAGTTTTGGAAATTTTCCGCACACCTGGAAAGTCCTGGCTACGCTCCTGATAGAGACTTTTGCTGGAGAGAAATTGAAACACGTTCGCTAATATAGTGACGACCAGAAAGGACAAGCCATAGGATAGTTCCAGAAAACCACCCATTAAAATAGATCACGAAGTTGTCGCGGAGGAGGATGAACTTGAAGGCATGCATCTGATGAACTGCAATTTTTCAAGGGAGCCCAGACAAGATTATGTACGATGGGCACAGCTTGTTTGATCTGGAAAATTTAGAGAAGCTCAAGGCAAATCGCTAGACAACACATGCTAGAGCTGAACTAAAAATCTTTTGCGCCTTTGAACTCTGTCCCTAAGGGTAAAGGAGAAAGTTTCCCTTTATCAATGCATTAACCGAGTTGATTATGAATGTCTTCTTATGTTGGACGTCTTACTAACAAGCACATTACCACTACTTGCCCTCAGAGGCGTTTTTCATTTGACGAGCAGAGAAAATTAGGTTTTGACTGTTTGAAATTCTGGATGCCAGAGTGAAGACGCCTTTTGTATGATGACGTCATCGTCCTACAGTAAAAAGCGTTCGTTTTTTACCACTGATATTACGTCAATCGGTACACTTATGTTGTCGAAAGGTCCGTAAGCATGGTAAATGATTTTACCTTAAACTGCAGACACATCTTCAATCACTCCTTATTGTTCGCGATATCGGATAAACTCTCTGGTCTCTCACTGAATTTTCTTTGCTGTTTACTTTATTTTGAATTAGGACTGTCTTGAGTTGTCCAAGCATTGTCTAGCGATTTTAAGCTTTTTCAAGGAAACAAAAATCTGGAATTGTCCCTAGGGTGAGGCATTTTCGCACAGTTTTAAAGCCCTTCGGTGGGGTGACTGTGGTTTTTGTTGTCCCGGGCTCATCCCTCATTCTTCTTAACCCCTTCCAAACCAGTTTTTCTGTTTATCAAGAATCTCCTCAAAACGGGCTTCGTGATTGAGACAAAATACCTGAAAATTGTACACGGAACCGTTGTTAACGGTGTACAAGTAAGAATGAGTCTATTCATTACTTTGCCAACGCCCAATTTTTAAAACCGGAAGTAATGATGTTTATTTCAAGGGCTCATGTCTCATGAGTTTTGAGTGAGTCTTCAAACGCTGTAAACACGTGTAGCTGGAACTATCATCGCATCGATCCTCACTCACTAATAATGATAACTTATATCAACTTCCATTATTTATTGCCTGGCTAAGATTTTCACGGATTCTTCAGTTCAGTTGTTTGAAACCAGGCGGTTTCACGTGAGTTGTAACGCCAGGCAAGGAACGTGACGACCCGCGATATGCGTGGGAAAATATTACTTTTTTTCGATCAAGGTGGAAACTGGCAACTTTGTCGTCGAGTAAGGTAATACATCTCAATTTTCATTACTCTGGTTAATTTTAAAAGCTCTGGTTTCGGTAAAGGAACTGGAGGAAAATCAGGAAAATTCCAGTTCGACTGTGATGGTTGAATTCTGTTTACGCGTCATAGCATAAACATAACAAATTCATTTTCCTTTTCCTTATACAATCTGCCTTTTTTTATACTGTTTTTCGCAGCAGAGTTATCGATTATATTACAGAGGCTAATTTTATTACACAGATCACTCAGATTTAATGACAGAAACTCTATTATCGATTGTAATTTTGGCAACACCTGGCGAGTATTCGGTGTACAGATTATTGACAAAGTCGCTAGAACAGTCTTCCATTCATTACTTTTGTTTCTGCTCTGTTAAATTTGCCCAATTTTTTTATTAATGAACTCGATTTAACTACAAACAGTGAGTATTCAGGCAGATTGGCAAGCTTCAATGCGATGTGGCAAAGGAGATATACGCCTTTAAAATTCTGTTAATTTTGCGGGTGTAAAAAATTCAAAAAGTATACCCACCAAAAGTTTAATCGATCGTTGCGAAAACGTTATCAATTTTGAAGTAGTTTCTAAAAATACAATAAAGAGGGATTGTTCTTTCAATCTGTATTGGCAAAGGAAGATTAGCTTTGAAGAAAGGGTTGTAGTCGAAGGCTCAAAAGCAGCTTCTATTAACCAATATGGCGCCGGTCCGAGGCACCCAAAAACGGCCATGTCGATAATTTCCGAAGTAGGAGGAATTAGAACCTAAAGATACCTATTCCTTATTAAAGACCTCAAATCAAGTCTACATGCTAATTTTTAGCCAATTCGGTGAGATAGTGTGGCAGCGCCTTTTTAATATAGCTCGAATCTTACAGACAACTGCTCTTAAATATGTCACACAGATGCGAAAACTAAATTCGTCACACAGACTTGTCACACAGACGGAAAACTAAATTTGTCACACAGACGCGAAAATTAAATATGTCACACAGACTTGTCGCACAGACGGAAAACTTAAGTTGTCACACAGACGGAAAACTAAATTTGTCACACAGACGCGAAAATTAAATATGTCACACAGACTTGTCGCACAGACGAAAAACTTAAGTTGTCACACAGACGCAAAAACTAAATTCGTCACACAGACGAGAAAACTAAATCTGACACACAGACGAGAGAACTAAGTTTGTCACACAGACGCGAAAACTAAATTTGTCACACAGACGCGAAAATTAAATATGTCACACAGACTTGTCGCACAGACGGAAAACTTAAGTTGTCACACAGACGCGAAAACTAAACTTGTCACACAGACGGAAAACTAAAGTTGTACACAGACGCGAAAACTAAATTTGTAACACAGACGCGAAAATTAAATAGTAACCCAGACGCGAAAACTGTAAACTTGTACACAGATGCGAAAACTAAACTAGTAGCACAAACGCGAAAACTAAAACTAATAACACAGAAGCGAGAACCAAGCTAAAAGACCAACAACACCTAGAAAAAAAACACGCCGAGGAAACAAATACAAGGACAAGAGAAAAACACCAACTACCAGAGCCGCAGGATGGGGCGCAGGAACCACGTTGTCGTTAGCGTTCTGTGCGTTGTTGTCACCGGCAGCGTCGGCTGGAGCCGGAGGCGCGACAACTGGAGGGTCAACGGCCGCTACAACAGCCCCATCCGCAGGAACAACAGGGACTTAGTTCGACATGGAGAACGAAGAACGAAGAGAATCTTCGAAGATGGCGCAGCGATGACCGGGCAAGAGAAAAAGAACGCCAAGCTAACGACTGGCGAACGTTTAACGAAAAGACAATTAAACAGGCCAAAACAGGCCTATTTATACAAAACCTGTGTGAAACAGAACACCCAGGAGACTACGAGCGCGCAGGAATTGTTATCCTTGAATCCCGAAGGGATTTGGGGCGTTTGTACGAGATGGCCCCAGTGAGAATAGAGGAATTTGTTTGTCTGAGTTTTGAGTTCTATAAATAATACCTTTGCGCAGCGCTATTGCGAATGGAGAGCAGGTATTTTTTAAACAAAAGGTGACAAAGAGGGCAGCAAATTTTTATTGATACAGCTGATAAAGTAATGATACCTGTTGCCTTTTGTTTCTGAGCCACTGAAGAAGATCTCCGTTTGGAACATATTCCATAATTAACATGATGGGATGTGATTGGATCCAGTACCCGAGCATGCTCACAATATTACGGTGTGTTCCGACTTCCTTCATTAGCTCAATTTCCCGAACTAACTGCCGTTTTTCCTCCTCCGTGGCATTTTCTGAAGAAAAGGAAAGACATTGAAAAAAAAATCCAGTAACCGTGACCTACGTAAATGCTACACGATATCAGTTAGTACTAAACAATTAAAACCAGATGTAAAGATAAAAAGAACTAATTAAAATGAAAGTATATTCAACCTGGGAAAATAAAACACAGTCAATAGCTCAGGTCCTAATTTCTGCTTGAGAAAAAATCTATTTGTTAAATAATTGGTTCCCTAAGTTAAGTGACGTAGATAAAACAAAGTCTCAAAGAAAAACCGTTGGTTCTCTTCATCTAGCGATTACCAAGCACGACATGTAACATGATGTAATGCTGGACGATCTTTTAGTCCGGAAACTTGTTTCTATAAATCTAGACGCCACGTTTTCTGTTCTTTAATTGCTTCCCTATTCTCAACCCACGGGTTCTTCATCTCCAATAACATGACTTTCCTTGATTTTCTTGAGTGTAGATTTGTCATCCTAACGTATCT